GAAATGGCACTGATTTCATCATAAAATTATTTTTATCACATGGTGTGTTGATCAAATAGTTTTAGATGTCGGGATATTCAATATTTTGTAGGTTCGTCGATCCCAATTTCGGCAGTCAAACGGTATGAGCATTCTTGTAGCTGCACAGTTTCTAGTTTTGATTCATATTGCTTTTTCGCTTCGGTTTTTAAAGAATCTAAGCATTAATACGCCATTTTCGCCAACGCTGAGAGCGAGTTTGATTTCACCAAGCAGAATGGCGACTCTGACTCGTGACATCACACCGAATCGGTCTATTGGTCTGTCGCGAATATTGTCCCTTTTTTTCGATTTAGATTCGCATCCTTTTTCACCTTTTTCTAAGAAACTCCGACATGGTAAACAGTTGCATTATTATTGGATGTGCAAATGGACATCAAAAAGGTTCAACTTTGAGTTTTAATTGTTTTCCGAAATACCCCGAGAGAAGGAGGTTTTGGCTATCAATCGCAAGAATATTGATCCTGTACCTGGGAGTGATGTAAGAGTTTGTGCTAATCAAGCATATAGTAAGATAGCTTTTCTATAAAGATATTCTAAAATTTGAACGGTTATGTTATACCGTCACAACTCTTTCTAGGGGATGTATTTCCCCGTGGTCAGGCATAGGCCTAGGCGATGGTAGATGTGGGTGACTGGTTACTATTGAGTATCTTCTTTCACTTTAAATTTCAGTTAATTTGATTTTAAAACTTTCCTTAAACAAGGTCGTAAGACATTAAATGGGAACAAAATGAAGATAGTAAATCTATTGACTGCTACACTGCCCTCTTAAATCTTTTCAAGGTATCATGATGAGTATTGCGTGGGAATGTGAATTTAACCTTTTAGAAAAGTCTGGCTATAACGTCCGCAAAATATTGATAAAACCCGTTTTGAGCACCTTTTCGAAAAACCAGGCCTAAAAGACAAAGAGCGAGTAAGACTTTCACAAGTTCAGGAGAATTTAATCCTACGACTATGAACCAGTCTTGTTATAAGCAGTATTGAGTACTTACTTGTACCCTTTCAGAGATTTTAAGGCCTTTAATTCTTTTTATGTGTACACACCATGTGTTTGTATAAAGGTCGGGCAACCAAACAATTAGTATGGCCCAGCAAATACAGATAGCTGTATTCTGATTTTTCTTATGTTGAATACTAAATTCCATTATCCTGTTTTATTTTAAAACAAGAAATATACTTGAAAGCTTCGAGTGATTTGTAGGCTTTCAATTCCTCTTCTGTGTAACTACCCGACGTGTGTATAGACCGATTCGGTAACGCATAGCAACCGCCCCTAGCAACGAGCACTTGATGAAAACAAATCCTCGTTCGTTCGAAAAATCACTGCGCTTTGCTTACAAAGTCGCTGAATTTTTCTGAGAATCTCATTTCTTTACGTGAAAATATCGAGGAGTTTTGTTGCCGTTGGTTGTTCGAACCACAGCAGGATGGGAAAGAAAGGTTTAACTTTTCATATATTTCCATATCGCGAAAAGAAACCTGAATAATGGAAGTGATGGGTAGGCCTCCAAGCCATGAAACGCATGAACGCTGATGGGAGTGCTTGGGCGCCTGGTGGAAAATGTTTACATCTGCTCAGAACCATTTTATTGATCTATATATTAATATAATACACCTTTTCAAATTCCAGAGACAGATAATTACTTTCAAACTCTTGTCTATCTACACTACCTATCAAGGCCAAACAAGATCAACATTGTCGACATTAGGTTTTGGTAGTAGTCATATATTCTAAAAAGCACAAAAGTAATTCTATTATTTTCATTTTCTTCCTTTTTTGTAATAAATTGATTTATCATAATTTATATTTACAAGCAAACCATCCCCGGATCCACTTCACCCAGACTTTATGCCAAGTGCCTTCAAGCACTGTCCATTAAATGAAAACAAAGCAGGTATACAGCTGCCTGTTGCCTTTGTCTGAGATGTCGAATGGTCCAGCAGAAGAAACAACTGAAGAGGGCTCATCTCTTGAGATCAAATTATTGAGGAGAGAGAAAAATGCGTAGTGCGCTTTTTGGCCTATACGTGACTTCATTGTCTCCTTTGTATAAACACCTAGTAAATGAGAAGAAAAGTGATGTTAGGAAATGGCACTGATTTCACAGAAAAATACACTATATAACTAAACGTCATACATTACTGTAGCAAATTATGTTATTATAAAATTATCATCTGCTTTATTGCCAGAATAGTCGTAGATGTCAGAATAGATTTCGGTATGAGTACTCTTTTAGCTACACAGCTTCTAGTTTTGCTTCATATCACCTTTTCGCTTCGTTTTTTGAAGAATCAAAGAATTCATGCTGCTTTTTCCATAACGTTGATAGCGAGGTATCTGCGAGCGACGGGTTTGTTTTCACCAAGTGGAATGGCGACTCCGACACGTGACGTCACACCGAATCGGTCTATTAGGTAATGAATATCACCAAAACTAACATCGGGCCATCCACTGGGGCTTTCAAACCAGCCATCAGAGAGAGAGAAAGGATCTGGTAAATTTTCTGTACCTTTAGAATACTTCAGTTTTTCATCATAATGTTTTTTAGCAACTAAATCCCGAGAATTGTAGTAGGTTGACATCGTTCTCACAGCTGATTCAGCAGCCATTGTTGATCTTTTGCCCACCAGTGTTGGGCGCGTGCGCGAAAAAGCGTTTTGTTTTTGTTTTGATGACCGTCCCTTTAGCACTGTAGGAAACTATGTAAAAGGAGGGGTGAAGGATGATAGTTGCTATTCGTCAACTATCAGAGTGATCATGAAAGGATAAAGATGGGTAAAGAAGTTGCTGTGTTAATGGGCTATTTTGGGATTAGGTAAGGGAATTACATAAGTGATTCACGTGTATATCCAGGAGGGAGTGGAAATGATAGAGCGGATGGAGGGAGGGAGAATGTACGTATAGTTGGAGTTGAGTGGAGTGGGTTGTGTTGGGAGGGAGTAGGAGGAAGTGGTGTAGGGGGGAATATGAGTAGGAGGAGGATGGGTGTCGGGATGATGAATATTGGCAGTAGTTGGTGTTGAGGGGGATGGGTTGTGTTGGGAGGGAGTAGGAGGAAGGGGTGTAGGGGGAATATGAGTAGGAGGATTGATATCGATAGTCACTTCGAGTGTGGAGGGAGCATGAGTTGTGGAACTTTGTGACAAGCATATAGTTTTGGATATCTTCCCATCATAGTTTCTGCAGTGGAGTTGGTTGGAGAGTTTTGTGAGACAAAGGTTTTCTTATGAGGGGGGGAAGAGGAGACTGGTGTCTGAGGAATAAAGGCAAAGGTAGGTGGAGGTGTGTGTGCAGTTGGTGAAGAAGGGTTAGTTAGAACATTTAGTCTGTCTGCTGCGGGTAGTGCGGGGAGGGAGAGGGGGCGGTGTTGGGGCTGTAGTTGAGAATGGAGCTCCAGTTGAGATTGGGGAGTCTGGATTTAGAGTGGCAACAGAATTTGAATTGGGGAGGTAGAATGTAGAAGTGGAAGTGGGGAAGTAAGTAGGTATAGGGGAAGGTGTAGGAACATCTTGAGGTGGAGGGGGAGGTGCAGAGAGAGCGACATTACTGAGAAACCTTGTCGGCGTGCTTCTTATCTGACTTCACGTAGAGTGAGACCATCTTTGTATCTGAGAGTTGTTGCCTCAGACTCGAACTTGGAAGTGGGACAGCCTCTATATAATACAATATTGGGGTCGCTGCAGTTAGCACACGTCCGTGTTTGTACAGGGCAGTTTGATCTGTTATGACCAGGTTGGGCACATAGGGGGAATCGGTCTGTGGAGCGGCAGTGTTTGGCAGGATGTCCAAATCACCAACAGTTTTGACACTGACGGGGAGGAGGTTGGTATAGTTGAACAGGGAGGGATTGTCTACCAATGTAAACACGAACGGGAAGGTCATGTGTACGGAAAGTAATTTTGGCAATCTTTGGTATCGACTGGGCAGTTTGCTAGGGAGATAGAGACAGTTCCGGTACAAGTATTGAGAGTTGGGTGAGGTTCTGCAAGGATGGGGTTGCCAGAGAGATCAGTTAATTTTTATAATGCTATAGCTTCAGTTTCAGACGGGAGTGATCGCGTCGGTTACGGAAGGGGACTCTGTCTACACGTCTTTGGAGACGTTGTTGAAAGAGAAGAGTGTTGCCTGAGCAAGAAGCTGTAGGGGGGGGGGGTGACAAAAAATCGGTCCCATTTAGCTGGGCTAAATAGAGTAGTTAAGATATTTGTAGGGTTGGTGGTGGTAGAAGGACGGGGGCGTGTGGAAGAGCGAGTAGTATTACGGAGAGATGGAGAATAAGGCTGTAAGGTAGTAATAAGGGAGGGGGCGGTGTTTGATGAAGAAGGTTGTGGGGGTAGAGGTGATGAAGTTGAGAAAGTTGGGAGAGTAGGAATGTCTTCTGGAGATTGAGTCTCGGTTTGGGTGGGTAAGGCACTAGTAGGCATTGAGGAGTGGGTAGTAGTTTCAGTGTTCAGAGTCGTGGTCAAAGGATAGCCTGGGGTCGGGGAGCCGGTAGAGTCTGAATTGGTGGGGCTATTTGATGAAGGGGCAAGCCTCATTGCCTCTAATATGGGTACTACTTCATTACTGGCCACAGGAAGCCTTTATTATGTAGGGGAAATAAACAGTCCACCCCTCAGTGCCTCTTGAGGGGATTGGGGCTTGACAATTAAATCAGGGGAATACCGAGCCCATGGTTCCCGAAGGCCGTTCAGGACTGGCACAAGGCCAGCCTTTCATCCTTTCAGCACGGCTCTTACACCTTACGAAGTAGATAGTAGAAGGGGTTGGAGAAGGGACAGAAGTAGAAAGCTGTAGGGAAAAAAGGCTATGCAAAATTAGTTGAGTCGAGGGCTGAAGCCCTAGGCAGGGGAGATCCCTGCATTGGGTCTGTCTCCGTCTCCTAAGCCCCCTCACGACAATAACGGGAAAGGGATTGGGGGGTTAACAAGATATGTATTAATAAAAAATATCATTACTTACAATGAAACATATATTTTGTGACTTTATAGGATAGAATTGGCCAACACAGCACATTTTATCACAGACTATCAACAGGTTTTATCAGTTCAAATCTCACTACAATTTGCTGTTTATTGCTATGCTGACCAAACATGCAACAATGCCTAATCAACTTTTCAGAATTCCACGGGAATCCTACATACGTTTTCAATCCCCATCATCATGTTAAAGAAAATATGATTATCTTACAGATAAACAGAAGCGATTATCCTTTATTCACATTTCCTTTTTTTTTGGAATAATTGGTACCTTATGTTTCAACTCTTACAGTAATGACAAACAAATTAGTATTAAAAGTGTTAATAAGTTATGGTTTCAATTTTTGGCCAATCATAAATCAATAACTTCCTTCACTGGCTAACCTGAAACAGCTCCACTTAAGGAGAAATATATTGTATGCAACGCACAGTATATCCTGTGTAAAAACAACCATTTCAATCTTCCAGTCTATTTACAGAGTAATATTTGATCCTGGTACAAAATTATACAATTATTTGAAGGTTACCACTAAACAAGAAATATACATACATACAAGCATACATACATTCGTACATTCATGCATATATACATATTATATAATCATATAACACTTTTGTCCCTTAAACGTGTACAAAGCCTCCCAACAAAAGATAGTAATACTGGCTAAATCACAGGACCCTTCTCCTCCCAGGATCTCAAACTATCAACAAGAAGTGAGCAACGCCCTCCTTCAGCGCCGTCTTCGCAAGGCTCCTCATAACCCCCGAGTTTCAGTCACTCCACGACGAGACCGAGCTGGAGTCGGAGTCCTCGTCTGCCGCGTCGCCGCCGGGAGGGGCAGGGGCGTCCGGGTCGCTGCAACAGAGAGACGGATGAAAACCTCAATTGCAATCGATTGTTCATGCAGTACAGGGATATGCCTAATATCTCCTTACTAATGCTTATTTTTTATGTCTTTATGTGGAACACCAATCTTATTTCATATAATGTAACAGCATTAAGATTACGAAAAGTAGAATGAATAAGTCAAATGTTAATTTCATCTCAATCAACAAATAGAAGTCTGTATATACATGTGTGTATGTGTATGTGTATGTAAGGGGTGAGGGGGGAGGGGGTAGAGGGGGAGGGAGGGGGGAGGGAGGGAGGGAAAGTAGAGAGAGAGAGGAGCGAGGGAGAAAGAGAGAGAGAGAGGGAGGGGGAGGGGGGGGAAAGAGAGAGAGGGGGGGAGGGGGAGGGGGGAAGAGAGAGAGAGAGAGAGAGGAGAGAGGAGAGAGAGAGAGAGAGAGAGAGAGAGAGAGAGAGAGAGGAGAGAGAGAGAGAGAGAGAGAGAGAGAGGAGAGGGAGGGGGGAGGGGGAGGGGAGGGAGGGAGGGAGGAGGGGGAGGGAGGGGGAGGGAGGGAGGGAGGGAGGAGGGAGAGAGGGAGGGAGAGAGAGAGAGAGAGAGAGAGAGAGAGAGAGAGAGAGAGAGAGAGAGAGAGAGAGAGAGGAGAAGAGAGAGAGAGAGACAGAGACAGAGACAGAGACAGAGAGACAGACAGACAGACAGAGGAGAGAGAGAGAGAGAGAGAGAGAGAGAGAGAGAGAGAGAGAGAGAGAGAGAGAGAGAGAGAGAGAGACAGACAGACAGACAGAAGACAGACAGACAGAGATAGATAGATAGATAGATAGATAGAGAGAGAGAGAGAGAGAGAGAGAGAGAGAGAGAGAGAGAGGAGAGAGAGAGAGAGAGAAAGGGAGACGGAAGGGGGGGGGGAGAGAAGAGAAAAAGAATGAGAAATAGGAGAGAGAGAGAGAGAAGAGGAAAAGAAAGAGAGAAAGAGATAGATAGAGAGAGAAAGAGAGAGAGGGGGGGAGGGGGCAAGGCGCGGCGCACTCACTCCAGCAGCGACGGGTCGATCCCCTCCCGCGACATCTTCATCTCCACGGCGGGCCTCGGGACGCCCACGGCCAGCATCTTGAAGTAGGGCGCGTATCTCGGATCCTTGCTCACGGGCGTCGCCGACACGGCAGGGGCAGCAGGAGCAGGATCGGCCTCTGGGGAGTCCACCGCGTCCTCCTGCGTTCCTTCGGGCTGAGCCGCGGGAGGGGCGGCCGTGGCTTTCGGGGCAGCCTGGTGTTCCCCTGCGGCTTCTCCTGCGTCTGCGGTGGAGGGCGGCCCTGCGGTGGGCGCCACGGCCTCCGCCACCACGCCCTCCAGGCCAGGGACGGAGCGCAGCTGTCGCGAGAGGGAGTGGGTGAGAAGAGAAGAAATTACGCGGTGTTGAAACAAGCCTGACACTTGAGAGTTTACCGGACCATCTCAAAATTCATTCGATTCTAGTATCTCTACTTCTACATATCATATCGCCTTAAACTTCCCTGATTATCTTTGAATCTTACCCAATTCCGGTCTACCGAGCGATAATCAACAACTCAACCCTATCTGCTTCTTGCACCGTCTGGCCCGACATACACAGCTTCCTCTCGGATTCGGGGACCATTTCTATATCATGTAAAGCAGAGGGAATGGAGCGAATACGAACAGTCCTTGACCTAGATGATATCCCTCTCTCCGGAAACAAGCCCTATGAAGGTGAACGCCTGGCTTCACATGGCACTCTTTTCTGTCGCCAAGACCCATCCTCCATGAACGTATACATCAGAGCACATCGAGATCAGAGAGAGAGAAACTGTGAGAAAGAGAAAGAAACTGTGTGAGAGAGAGAGAGGAGAGAGGATTGATGCTAGTCCACAAAAAGGATACCAAATCGAAACCAAATAATCATCGACCAATTTCTCTTTTGCGTCATTGCAAAGCTCTTTGAAGAGTTCATTGTGCAAAAGTTGTGTGAGCAAATCGAAAACCTATTGCTTTCTTCATGTCAGGATGCTTTCACAAAGGGAAAATCGGCATCAGACCTCTTACTGCTCCTCTCACACAAATGGAGTCAAAACCTAGGTAGGGGACACAACACTCGGGGCATTGCACCGGGCATAAGTGCATTTGATACCACCTGGCATAAATCAAGAGCCTAGGGACAAGGAAACTTTCTGGTTCTACTGAAAGACTACCTCAGTGATAAAAGCCTCCCTGTGGTTGTGGGAGGCGAAGAATCTGAAAGATACCATATTAAAGCAGGTGTCCCACAAGGCAGCCACCTAGGACAATTAATGTTGAACATCTTTTGATTATTTGCTCCCAATAAACTCCAGAGGCAGTGCCGTATGCAGTGACTTCACATTCACTTGAGCTTCTCTCAAAGAACGCCAAACCAAACAGGCTCAA